GTGACGAAGAGAGACGTCTATCCACTTTCACGTATCGACGACAGGCTGACCGACTGCGCCATTGTCGATGCTTTTCATTGATTGACCTAAAGAGCGGCAAGTAGACAAACGGGACCGAGAGGAGACAGTCTTAGTGACGCCGGATGTACTGTCCGAGTTCAAGGTGATGCCCTTCGAACCATGCACGGCTTTAGCAACTTTGCAGCGTGTCATAGACACCGTTCTGGCAGGACCTAAACGGCAGAGCTGTGTCGTCTACCTTGACCACGCTCTAATTTATTTAAAGCTACTTCGGCGAGAACTTGCGACGACTCCGAGCTGTTCTCTAAGCCATACAGACCACCGGACTTACCCTCAAGCATTCGAAGTGTCGGTTTGCCTATGACAAACTGAAGTTCCTAGACCATAGGATTAGCAACGAAGGCGTTCACCCAGACTAATAAAAGACTTGTGCCGTTACGGCATTTCTAGCTCTGACAGGCAAGAAAATTGTACGAAGATTCCTTGGACTTTTCGCCTACTATTGGCGCTTGGTTCGTGATTTCTCAATGATTTCTGCAGTGCTCACAAAGCTAACGAAGGACGCCGAGAAGGTTGAATAAACGTTGAATAAACCGAGGAGTAGCAGCAGGCATTCGACAAACTGGAGCGAAGATTCCAGGTTTCTTCTTTTTTTGTACACTTTGATCAGAATACGGAAACCGAAAATTTTACGAACGCTAGTAAGGCAATATTTGGCGTGATACTGGTACAAGTGCAAGAATCCACCGTGCGAGTCATCGCCTACGCAAGACGGACACTGTCCAAGGTGGAGAAAAATTAATCCACGACCGAAATATTCTGTCTTGCGGCTGTCTGGACAATCATTAAGTTTCGTCCATACTTATACAGGAGACAGTTCCCCGTAGTCACGGATTACCACTCGCTCTGCTGGCTTGCGAACTTCAACGACGCATTAGGACGCCTCGCTAGATGGAGTCCCCGACTACAACATTTCAACATGACTCCGGCCTACAAGTCAGGCCGCAAGCACAGCGACGGTGACTGCTTATCAAGAGCCCCTGAAGAGACAACTTTAGGCAGCAGCGACGACGATGACAACGAGTGCTTTCTTAGCGCGGTGAACACTGGCGACATAGTACAATGTCAACGAAACGACCCTGAGTTGCGCGCACTAATGGAGCATATTGAAGGGCGTGGGTGTGCCATTCCGCGTGTCTTCTCACAAACCTGGACAACATTCGTCAGTCGGGAAGGTGTACTTTACAAAGAGACCTTTGTGGACAACGACTCACCGTGGCTGCTGATAATGCCAACCGACCTTCGAGAGGAAATTTCTGAAACCTGCCACGATGACCTGACGTCCTAATACCTTGGTTATAGCAGGACATTGGCCTGTATTCGTTAAAAGTGCTACTGGGCCAAGCTTCCCGAAACAGTCCAGCTCTATACACAATCACGCCACGAGTGCCAGCGACGCAAAAACCGTCGACGAAGCCGGTAGGTCTCCTGCAGTCAATTACTCCGCCAATTGCACCATTCCAGCAGATCGGAGTGAATCTACTTGCTCCTTTTCCGCAGTCGACCCTAGAAAACCGTTTAATAATCGTAATCACTAGTTGTCTAATATGACACGCCGAGACAAAAACGTTTCCGTCGGGAACTGCTGTGAAAGTTGCCAAGTTTTTTGCACAGTCCGTCGTCCTACGACCCGGCGCTCCTCAAGTTCTCATTGCAGATCAGGATCAGCATCCATGGCGCAGCTTAACCAGGAGATACTTCGTCTAAGCATCCCCGAACACTGGAGGACCACGACATACCATCAACAGACCAACAGACTGACGGAGAGACTCAACAAGACCATCGCCGACATAATCGCTATGCATGCCGACGTTAAGCGGAAAACATGATGTGAAGGACTGCCGTGTATATCACGTTTGCCTACATCACTGTAGTCTAAGAGACCACCCGAATTACACCTGTACACCTGGGCCCGTTTGCTCGAAGCCGGTTAACTTTAACCGCGGTTAAAAGTTAACCGCCCTTCCAGGCGATTAGTTACCTACAAGTACCTGGCCAAGTTTGACGAGGGCTGGATGAGCGATAGCTTCGTGTTTTATTATGGGGTGGTAGCTGGTGTCACCTACTGGCTGTAGGGAATATAAATGACTTCCGTGAAAAAAAGTTCCCGAAAAGGGGAAACCCAAAAGAAGCGCGTTACCGGGTTTTCGCGACGCAGCGCGGCATTAGTTTGAGCAGACACAATTTTTGTTGCTCGCGGTACAGATTTGGTAAGGTAAAACTAAATTCGCCCTTGTTTGTAAAAGTTATAAATACATGGCTGTCTGAGGAAGACAAGCCTCGTTGAATTTTCCTTCCAAGGCCGAAAGAGGACCACGAAGTTAAGTCCTAGAAACGATTAGGAGGAATTGAGCCGTGAAAGGCGGGAGGTACACCGGCAGCATGGTTGGACAGCGTGCAAAAACTGTATATAACACCAACATAAATTGAAAAACCTGTAATGCGGCTCCAGTGAATATAGACCTATTAGTAAATTACCCAAGCATTGAGGAGAACGCTGGAAGCGTAATTTTATGGTCTGAGCACGCTGGCCTTCCTTTTATACAAGATTCGAAGTAAATAATCATAATAAGGCTTTGACGAACTCGCGTGCAAGGCAAAATTTATTTTAGGCTTTTTGCTTTAGAAGAGTTACTTCTGCAGATGCCAGCACGTGCAGCGCGTGCAACTACACTCGTAGCATGCACCTCGGTGCTTGAGAAATTTAGTAAAAGTTCCATTAAGACCATTAAGACGCTGTTTGATTGTGTTTGCTGTCAATGCCCGGCCGAATGAGTCAAGGCAATGCACTTTCCGAAGACGGCTCGCCATGCCGACAATTATCGCGTTCATTTAGGCTTAGGAATGGCCAGAGTCGAAAGACTATCTAAAAAATGCGGCGAGGTCATTGCTCATGCTTTTCGATTTAAGTGAGGTAAGTCAAAGCGAAAGTCTCCTGCACCATTACTTGCTGACTAACGCGCCAGATATTGCAGCTACTACGACATAATAGTTCCAAAGCGAGCGGCGCTCACTCACCGGGGCAGCGTCATATTTCCCCGCCGTCCTTACTCTGCCGGTCACGTGACCTAAAATTCCCTCTCGTAGGGAAATGCGGTTAAATTCTAACCGCATTTAGAATTAACCGCGTTAACCAGCTTCGAGCAAACGGGCCCTGGTGCTTAGTAGAGAGGCTAAAACGATGCTCGGCGCATGCTACTTCACGACTCAGCAGTGGATAGAACCGACGACGCCATGTTGATTACCGAACGAGCAGAGGAGATTCGCCAGCTCGCCAGTCTCTGACTTCAAGCCGAGCACGGTGACGCTCACCTGTACAACCTTCACCACCTCGCTGTCAACCTCCGACACGGAGACAGGATATGGATTTGGATGCCAATTCGACGCCGTCATCTCATTGAGAAACTATAAAAACGATGCTTCGGACCATACAAGGTGCTTCGTCGACTCGAAAATTTGAACTACGAATTGATGTCCGATGGAACAAGAACATCATCACGCCGCCCACCACGACCACGTCACGCGCTTCAAGCCGTATTACGCTAGATAATACTGCAAACTGCGCTCCCGTGCTACTCTTGATAGGCCCGTGTTTTAGGAGCCTCCGTATTTTTTAATTATTTTATTTGTACTGCTTAGTTTAGTTTTCTTGCACACTGCATCGAGACGCTTGCTTGTCTCGATGCACACTGCATCGAGACAAGCAAGCGCGTCCGTGGCAAAATGGTTACCGTGCTGGGCTTCCACGCAAAGGGCCGAGGTTCGATGCTTGAGGCGGACGCACCATTTGGTTATTTCGGTAAATGTCACATTCTCGTAAATTCAAAAATCCTGTTGCTTGTTCGAGGTCCGAGTGTTCTACGCGCCGAAAATTCTACGCCGAGTGTTCCAGAAGCCCGCGAGTGCACATAAGTGTACTTCTCGTTCTGAACCGGAGTCAGTCTCACTCAAGCGCTCGATTCTCTTCTTACGCCGTCATCAACGCTTGCGACGCTAGCCTTCTTTTATTTCGTTTTGCGCACAGGTTCACCGTAATAAATGTTCAGTTTTCTTCAGTAGTTCGTCGCCTCATCTATCGTCATTCGCGGCAAAATCTTTTCAATAAGCTAATGACTACAATATGTTTTAATAGGATAATGACTAATGTGCATCATTACTCAGTTTTGTTTTCTTTATTTTACTTCCGGTACGAGAGTTACTGGAAAAGGTGTGAGTGGTGAGAAACAGAAAAAGTCGGAGACTAAAATTAAGGGTTATGCCACAAACCTTCATCTTGTATTTGCGATACTAGCCCTCCATCGCCAACCACGACGCCGCATTGAGTTAGCCACGGAACTAGAAAGATTACGACACGTCTCTTTATTCTACTTTACAATATTAAAAGGGGTTTAAATAAAGAAGAACGACACCAACTGTAACATGTGCTTCTGAAAACATTGCACTTTTGGTTAAAACAGCTTTTTGCTTGGCTTTATGTACTAAGCGCGGCCACACTTCTTTCGCACATTCTTCGGCCGCACTTCTTGCACATTTTTTGTAGCGCACGTTGTAAAGGTTGCAGAAGTGTCCTGATTGTGCAACACCTACACCGCACTTTCCGCAGACACTCACTTCGATTAATTTTTAGTGTTCTGAGTAAATGCTGAACAGCATGTAAGCGATTTAGCGAGCGACGAGACGAGAGACACGCGACGGAAATTTCTGAATCTCTCCCGTCCCGTCGCTTGGTTCTGAATTTCTAGAAAACGTCGTCCGTTGTCTTGTTCGCTTGCTCCCGTCGGTTTCAAGCGGTTCGCCTCGTCGCGCGACGGACGGGTGAGAGCGCGTCTTCATTGCCGTCGTTTGCCTTGCCGCTCTTCAATTCGCTTACATGCGGTTTATAATTAATAAGAGACGGCGGAGGGACGCCCACAGCTTACCGGACACGTTCTTGACATAGAAGATGGTCGGAATCGCCACCAGCAGGAAGAGAACCATTGGGATCGAGCCGATTATGATCCAGTAATTTGCTAACTTCTTTGTTATCATTTCAGCCTGTGCCCTGCAATACGCGAGAACTTGTATAGTATTTTTTTTCTAGTCGGAGAGCAAGTTCCCTGTTTTTTTCGCAGGAGGTGTGGTGACGTGAGAACGACTCCGAGCTCTGATTATCTTAGGTGGAAAGGCTAGTTTGTAGACCTTAATGCAAGATGCCTTGAGGCATATCCAATATTTTTTTCCAATGAACCGATAAGCGCTGGGCCTTCTGACGTCATCGCAACCCCTATGCATAAAGCAGACGTGCTTGAGCTCTGCATAGATCCAGCACTTATGTTTGTCATGTCTGTGCTCACACGTAGCCTCGATGGTGACGTCACGCTGATGACGTTTTAGTGGTATAATAACAGTTGGTGTATGACTGTGGGGCAAAAACAGTGATTAGCCCTGAGAGAAGAACCTCTCCGGTCATCTCTTTTTTTTTTTTTTTGCTTTATGCTGTGATTAAACTTCCGTGCAATCAAGATTAAAGAAATGCATTCTTACGTAGTGTGTAAACGTGTTATTGTGGCGAGGGTGAATGAAGCAAAGACGTAACACAACCCCGAGACTGCAGGAAGCAAAAACTTCAAACACACACAGGCAAATATGGTAATTTGCGTGCCTACATAGCTTTGGCTTACTGGAGTCCTGGGGTTGTGTTGTGTTTAGTAGTATACACCAGATCGTTTGCGCACTTAAACAAAAATAATAGTCCTACCCAGTCAGTAATATTTGCTCATATCCTGCCATAACTAATTCGTCCAATATACGCCGAGGTCATCAATCATCAAAAGACTGCAATTACTATCTGCTGACAGATTTTAAGAGTTCAAGAGAAACTACTCCTACCTCTTTCCTCTTCGCTGGAGGTATGGTGATCATGTTCTTATTTTTATTGTTTACACTTCACTCAGTAAAGCTTATTGTTTAAAGTTTTGATGCACAAAATGAACAATCTTCGTCCACATCCGTGCACAACTTAATGCCACTGGCTAAATGACCGAGTTATGCGCTCCCTTCAAAGAGTCAGCGATTAATTTGAGTCGCGCGGTATAGACCTTCCCAATCATGCATTTTGGGTGCTGGCATCCTTCTACACTGGGTTGTGAAACGCGTTCTCTACATGCGCACTAGCTCGCCGTCTTAAAAGAAAGTGGATGCCGCGCATGTGCCCACAGCCCAGTCACTCGGCGTTTTTTGCCTGACTGCCCTGGAAAGCTGTATACGGCATGCAAAGCTGCCCAATGCTTACGCGCCTCGTGTGTCTCTTCGCCCACTAAAGGGGGCCACGTTCTTTTGCTTCCTCCCAACCTTGACCAACGGCGGTACGCGCTTAGCGGCCTCGTCATTTCGCGTTCCCGGCACGTTTTCTACATTTCTCTTCGATTGCATCTTCCCTCCTTCCCTTTCGATGCTTCAAGAACACATTTCGGAACACTTGCTCGCCGTATACGGGTAGAAATTGATAAAGAGAGAGGACGAGAGCTCGGAATACCAAGCTCTGGTTGGAATGGTTACTGGGTAGATTCAAAGATTCAATGTCTCTACTCGCTCTTCGAGCGTGTTCGTACGTGAACACCAAACGAGACGCAGCGAAATGCCTGACACTTATTCGAAGGAAAAGCACAATCCGGCGATACGAAGTTACGTGCCTAACTCCCTTTATCCCATTGGCTGGCAGGGGTCGTATACCTTCCGCTTTACTGGCACGTAATAAGTTCATGGCTGCCTGGCCTACCCAGCATTTCTTACTTCGGGCACCATAGGCTAAGCAAGGCCACCTGAATCCCCCGCGTTTGAATATTGCAGTCGCCACTCCCAGGCGTTTCCAATGTTTCTTGCTACAGACCTTAGTTGGTGCCAAACCAAACAGCCTTGCAGGTTGGCTATAGCCTCGCATCTACACACGAATCATTTCAAGCAGAGCTCAGTGTTCTGACGTCCTCGGGCTCTCGTCTCCTCCTCTCCTTCAGTTTCTACCCGAATAGCGAGAGAGTGATCGTAGTCTGCTTACTCACCCGCCCGCCCCTGCTCCGGGTGCCGGTGGCGCGTCGAGGGTCGATGCCCCGGACATGAAAGATTCTTCCGCCATTGTCTAAATGGAAGATGTCAATATTAAGATTGCTTAAGACCTTACATGCTTACGCATGGTTGCGATGACACAGCTTCGTTCGTGGCAGCTAGTTAAAGAAAAAGCTTAAAAAACAAATAAGCAGCTAAAAAAAGAAAAAAAAAAAACAAATAACACAAGAAACTTTTTCGGCGTTCAGTGACATCTGGTGACTCAAATGGCAGTTTAAATTTTACCATGCTAATGACGACAACGAACCTGTGGTCTGCAATATTTGATGGGGCATCGTCACCTTCGCAAGTCAACGGTAAACGAGAATGTGCGCTTCACTGTACACGTCCTTTTAATCCCTTTCAGTGTCGATTTTGAAAATGTTGCAACCAGTCAGAACGAAGTGTCAACCGATATAGACGCCTTGATAAAGTTATATACATCAAGGTGGCTTCGAAGCCGAGTGTGAGCTATGAACTGATTGACTGGGCCCGAGTTAGAAAGGAACGCCTCCGCAGCTCTTGCAGCCAATTCCTGCTTCACGTCGCGCTAACGTCTAGAACATGGATGCCTCGAATCATCTGCTTAGGAGCATCTTGAACTTTTTCCTCCACCAGTAAACAGAAGGCCGCCATTAGTATAGCACATATGCCATTCTTCAGATGATGATAGTGATTAAAGTGGCCAGACTGAACTCCGGAAAGGCTCTATTGTTATGCTGCATGACACTAAGCCTGGTCCTGAAATAGACCCACGAAATGGTACTGAACCAGAAACATCTTTCGCGGTGCAATTCCAAGAAATGATAAAACTACTTTTTTTTTAATCTCTTCTTTTCTAATCTTTCTAACGTCAAATGATCTACTAAGAAAATAAATTATAATCCGCTCATTTGCAGCATATATAGTTCCATCTTATGCCCAGACGCAGCCTACGCTCCCACCGAATGGGACCAATCAAGCTGCGTCAAAATCGCAAGCCACAAATCCATTTCTGTTTATGACTGGTTATGACTGGTTTGTCACCACTGCAAATTTGACAATGGAAAGCATCGAACAACGAGCGCTACAGTCCTTTGCCAACAAACCTGAGGTGTTCATGCGTTATGTGGACGACTGTTTTTGTATATTGAAAACATCAGAAGTTGACAAGTTCCTGGCTCACCTTAACTCCATCGAGCCCGACATCCAATTCACCGTGGAACGGGAAAAGGACAACAGTTTACCATTCCTTGATGTACTGGTGAAGAGGCAAGGGGAGGACATGAAGTTTTCGGTGTACAGGAAGCCCACTCACACCGGACGCTACCTTAATTTTAAGTCGCACCATCCAGCGAGTCATAAGGCATCAGTCGTTGCAACACTCATGTCCAGGGCGGCTGTTATCTGTTCTTCAGAAACTGACAGAAAAAGCGAGGGGCAGAGTGTGATCGCTGATTTGAGAAAGAACGGCTACCCGACAAGATTCATCCGACAAGTCACCAAACGTACGGTTCACGCTCGCCAAAACCCACAACCAAAGGGAGCTGCGCCGCATCGCCCCATCACGCGCATCAGCGTTCCCTACGTTCAGGGTACTAGCGAAGCACTATCACGGGTGCTTGCAAAAGAAGGCATTCACGTGGCTCACAAACCGGTATCCACTCTTGGACGGTTCATGCCAAGACCAAAAGATCGCCCCCCGAAGGAAAAAGCACCGGGAATTGTTTACCGGATCCCCTGCTTAAAATGTCCTGCATCTTATATCGGCGAAACAAAGAACTTCATAGAAAGGTTACGCCAGCACAAGAACGATGTACGCAAATTCGACCGAGAACGCAGTGCTCTTGCGGAGCACTGTGACACCTTTGACCATCCGATAGACTTCGCGAACGCGTCCGTTCTTGATGTTGAAACCAATCTCCGAAAAAGACATCACCTTGAATCATGGCACATCCAAAATACACCAGGAAACATCAACAGATCTATGGGTACCTTACCATCTGTTTATGTGAGCGGACTACGGCACGTGATTAGAAAAAGACTGGATGGCAAGGCGGAAGCGCGATTAGAAAATATTCGTATCACCAAAGAAGACGAGGCTGCTCCCACGCACGAGATCAATCGCCCCTGAAGAAGAAACCGAACTGGTTTTGAAACGTTGGGTCCGAGTTTAATTTTTGGTTGGAGTCAAATATTTTTCCATTATCACTTCCCAACCAGACAGACGTCTGTCGAAGATGTTTACCTTCAAGTCTTTACACCTCGATTACGGGCGTTCGACAGCTCAGCTTGCGAAACGGTATGTCAACGTTACTCGCAGCATCTCCGTCTTCAAAACGCACCTTGACTTTACAAAAACCTGCCGAGACATGAGCGTGATTCCGCAAAGCCTACGTCTTAAGCGTCTCGTCCACACTCAAGAGGGACACCGGATCGTGGCTCAAGCAGAACATCGTTTGCTCAACGCCCGAATCCATGAATGCCATACCACCATAAAGAAAAAGGAACTGGATCTGTTTTTTCTACGTCGGAAGCTCGAACATCAGATTCCAGACGTACTACCATCTCTGCAGTTGTTTGCAGGGAACGTCGCGGCCACTGCCGAAAAGAAGCAACGTTCGTCCCAGCAGAGGAAGCTTTCGATTCTATCAAAGGCAAGCACGACAAACAAAAGCTGCGACACCACCGCTTTTGTAATGAATCTTTCATCTAAACGACTTTCTGACTGCGAGACGGATGTTTTGGCGAAAGGTCACAACTTCAACATGACCTCAGGAAGACCACCCCTGGCGAAAATGGTCGCAGCCGTAGAAGACGGAATCTCCCACCTGGATCCCGACGTTCGTGAAGGAGTTCGACTTAAGGCAATAGGTATTCTGTCAAGACTCCGTTCTCAACCACATCATAACCTGCCTAAAGAAGAAAGCAAAGCGCTGCGGGAGCTCCAGGCGGATACCACTATCGTAATTCTGCCTGCGGACAAGGGCAATGCGACTGTGGTCCTTGACCGGGAAGCTTACGAGCGTAAGGTCGGAGACCTCCTTGACAGTCCTGCTTATGAAAAGCTAAAGAAAGATCCAACCCGCCAAGTCCAAGACGGCCTGAACAAGACTCTGGCAGATGTTTTCAGGAACCACCCCGATTCAAAAGGCCTCTACTTTCAGCTCATATGCAGGAATGGCTCTGCACCGGGCTTCTATGGGCTGCCCAAGATTCATAAGATCAACGTTCCTCTGCGACCCATAGTAGATTTCACCACCTCTCCGCTCCGGGCCTTGTCAAACTACTTACACCGGATAATTTCGCCTCTCACTGGAAGAACCTCCACCTTTGTCCGCAATGCCGGTGACTTCGTTGAACGCATGTCGGAAGTGAAGGTCAACAGGGAGCACAGCATGGTGTCGTTCGATGTCGTGTCCCTCTTTACCAGCGTTCCAGTACCCCTGGCAGTCTCCACAGCCAGAGCGGTTCTCGAATCAGATTCCGAACTCAGCACCAGAACCAGCCTCAGCGTGGACGAGCTGTGCCGCCTTCTTGATTTTTGCCTCCGCGGCACCTACTTTTGCTTCAAAGGGGACTTCTACAAACAAACCAGCGGAACTGCGATGGGTGCGTCCATATCTGTCACCACTGCAAATTTGACAATGGAAAGCATCGAACAACGAGCGCTACAGTCCTTTGCCAACAAACCTGAGGTGTTCATGCGTTATGTGGACGACTGTTTTTGTATATTGAAAACATCAGAAGTTGACAAGTTCCTGGCTCACCTTAACTCCATCGAGCCCGACATCCAATTCACCGTGGAACGGGAAAAGGACAACAGTTTACCATTCCTTGATGTACTGGTGAAGAGGCAAGGGGAGGACATGAAGTTTTCGGTGTACAGGAAGCCCACTCACACCGGACGCTACCTTAATTTTAAGTCGCACCATCCAGCGAGTCATAAGGCATCAGTCGTTGCAACACTCATGTCCAGGGCGGCTGTTATCTGTTCTTCAGAAACTGACAGAAAAAGCGAGGGGCAGAGTGTGATCGCTGATTTGAGAAAGAACGGCTACCCGACAAGATTCATCCGACAAGTCACCAAACGTACGGTTCACGCTCGCCAAAACCCACAACCAAAGGGAGCTGCGCCGCATCGCCCCATCACGCGCATCAGCGTTCCCTACGTTCAGGGTACTAGCGAAGCACTATCACGGGTGCTTGCAAAAGAAGGCATTCACGTGGCTCACAAACCGGTATCCACTCTTGGACGGTTCATGCCAAGACCAAAAGATCGCCCCCCGAAGGAAAAAGCACCGGGAATTGTTTACCGGATCCCCTGCTTAAAATGTCCTGCATCTTATATCGGCGAAACAAAGAACTTCATAGAAAGGTTACGCCAGCACAAGAACGATGTACGCAAATTCGACCGAGAACGCAGTGCTCTTGCGGAGCACTGTGACACCTTTGACCATCCGATAGACTTCGCGAACGCGTCCGTTCTTGATGTTGAAACCAATCTCCGAAAAAGACATCACCTTGAATCATGGCACATCCAAAATACACCAGGAAACATCAACAGATCTATGGGTACCTTACCATCTGTTTATGTGAGCGGACTACGGCACGTGATTAGAAAAAGACTGGATGGCAAGGCGGAAGCGCGATTAGAAAATATTCGTATCACCAAAGAAGACGAGGCTGCTCCCACGCACGAGATCAATCGCCCCTGAAGAAGAAACCGAACTGGTTTTGAAACGTTGGGTCCGAGTTTAATTTTTGGTTGGAGTCAAATATTTTTCCATTATCACTTCCCAACCAGACAGACGTCTGTCGAAGATGTTTACCTTCAAGTCTTTACACCTCGATTACGGGCGTTCGACAGCTCAGCTTGCGAAACGGTATGTCAACGTTACTCGCAGCATCTCCGTCTTCAAAACGCACCTTGACTTTACAAAAACCTGCCGAGACATGAGCGTGATTCCGCAAAGCCTACGTCTTAAGCGTCTCGTCCACACTCAAGAGGGACACCGGATCGTGGCTCAAGCAGAACATCGTTTGCTCAAC